TGCAAAGTTTTCCGGCTGCTATATAAGAGATGCTCTTGGTTCCGTAAGAGCTTTTGCCCGCCATTGAAGCTTTCCTCTTCGTTGTATCATTGTCGTATCATTCCCGCCTGCATCCAGTTCAACTCAGTGATAGACCGCATGTCAGAGAGCTTCCTACCGGTGCTCCTCGCCCTATTCTTGTTCTTCCTGATCCCCTGTTGGTGCTCTCGATATCCTACATCAACCCAACTCATACATCTGACTCAGTCACCTTCTGTGTCGCAATTCTACTCGTCATGGGACCGAGGCGTCAATACTTGATTCGTACTCCCCACGCCCCGTCCGCACCGGCCACTCGTGCAGCTATTGGAGTGACCTGGAACAATCCCCTCGATGCCGTGAGGGAAGGCGCCACGATTTCCTCCTGGCTCCAAGTACCTCCAAATGTGTTGCAGCAAATGGGCAGGTCGCTTTCGACTTCGCCGCAGCGCCCACCCCATGACCCCGAGGTACATACAAAACAAACCGTTCATCGTTATTCGAGCTGATTTGCTTCGCCCGCAATTCCAAGGCTGGCATCCACCTCTCAGAATTTTACGTCGGCGTTGGCCATCTGAACGCGTTGCCGGTTGGCAGATATCGCGCCCAATCTTAACGCCCTCAATTGTACTTCCTTCTTTACAAACGCATAATCTATCTTTTAAGTGAGGTAAATGACTTTGCACTGACCGGTTTCACTGCCCTGTCTCAGGCTCCGCAAGCTGTGCCAAGGAAATTTCTGGGTCGATGGAGTTGCGCTGATCGCACGTCTTATGCTCGTGCTTCTCAAGAGAAAGAGCCTCTGTATAAGTCGAAAAGCCACGTTTCTAAATCGTACACATTTTTGGAATCTTCAACTGCTGTTGAGATCTCCAACTGCTGTGAGGAGACCTGTTGAACGGTTCCGTCGAAGCTCGGATAGGCAAGACTTGACAGCATTTACTCCACAGCGTGCCTCCCGGTGGTAGAAGCATACAGCTATCAGGGGAGAAAAGTATAGCAGGACAGCAGGTAGACCACACGAGGCATTTGCTGAACTTGCTGTGGTTGTTGAGATAACGGCGGTTTGGAGCAGCGTGGCCATAAGACATCTCATTTGGAGTCATAGGGACTACCGAAGCCGCATCTCCGATGCCTGACAGGGCAAGGCACAAAAACTGGACATTTCACCGACGCGTACGCAGTTGTATGCCCATGTTTGGCCGCTGAGGACGCGTTGGTTTGTGTGGGTCACCTGACAGTGACAGGTCGCTTTCTCAGGTTTGGGTTTGGTTTGGGTGCAAAATCGGGCAATTGGCAGGATGGGGACAATTAGGCCCGTGACTGAGTCACTCCCTCGGGACGTCCGGTATCCTGTGCGTCGGTTCGACGAATCGACCTCGTGTTCATTTCCGGAGATACACAGTTTCAACACAGTTTGTACAATACACAATATTAGCAGGCGGAAATAAAATTTACCACACCCGCCGGCGCTTTCGTGAAGATGGCGGGAACAATGTTCACGTTGGCGGGGTCAAGCTGTTGATGAATTGTCTGAAGCTGTGATTCTTTGATTATTACGGCTCTGGAACTCGATCTCCACAGCATTTAGCGCTCCGGGGCCTTCGTTCTGAAGATCGATTCCACAATGGCCACCCACTCACTGCCGGTACCCCTTGCGCTCTTTCAAACTTCCACTTTTAAACTCTCGGTGACTCGCTGCGTCTTGAATAGATGTGCCGGCATAAAATCAAACAGCAATTTCGCAGCGTCTAAGGTTGGTATAAAATTCGTCGGACGGCCCTCATACCACAACACCTCCGCGCCCGCAGTACCATAACGACTCGATCACTATGGCAGCTGGAACCGCTTCACAGTTGACCCAAATTCTCTGGGTATTTGCCGCCATACGTCCGTTTGGTCCCTCTCCGGCCGCGAGGCGATATTGACAATTTTCAGTTGTGCTATACATACTGTTCGGCGTCCTCTTCATAGTGATGTCACACCTCCAAGATCGGCTTCGAAGGAGACCAGAAGGCGAATGCCCATTGAGGCCCTACACTTCGCGGTCGTGGGATACGGTGTCTCTGTCTTGTGACGCTTCAAACCGAGACCCCGAGAGCCAGCCTTCCAACCAACTGTGCAGTCAGTGCAGCACCATTCCGATTACCATCCGGCTGCACTTCGGGAATCCAGAGCAGCCATTGGTCGAGGATGCTACTCGGAAATGAGCAGGTAGGTTCGGTGAAAATGTGCAGGCCCCTCCATGACCCTTTCCCGTAGTGCAGATAATGCTGATCGCCTTTGCGTCAAATTTCATGGGCCCACATCTACCCTGGGCAATAATCGAACTATCCAGAGGCTCCTGGTTTTCTACTATGTGTTGTCCTCGATTTCCAATGGACACATGCCTTCCAGAATGTGTGTATTTATTGAGATGGAATCCTGAAAGTTATTTCTGTACAATTGTAAAAGACAACTGAGCGCCATCAGTTGTGTGATCATTAACGTTCCCTGAATGTCGCACCTTGTTCATTATTACCCCTGAAGGTCTTCGCAAACACATTAGCTAGGATTCAAAAGTACACAGGAAAGAAAAAGAAAGGATGAACAACACCATGCACCGCCAGACGCAGCCTTACACCCGCCCATACCCGCCATCCGCCAAAAAAACCTTCATCCGCGCCACGATCGCATCAAGGCCAACCAGCCAGCGTGCGAGCTCCGACTCGAACTTGTCTGGGTCACCGCCTTGCGAAATTTGCGCGTAGAACTGGTGTCGATGGGGGACCGAGCGGATCGCAAGCTGTGTGCCGAAATAAGCAGGAGCAGGGAGCAAATAAAGTGTTGCATACCGTAACAACCGAGCGCACGACGAAATTATGGTGGTGCCGCAGCACAACATCGTATGCACGCCGAAAGCAAACATGAAGCGCGCACCCCGGCTCGTTCTGTGTTGTCTGGAGCGCGACGCAAGTGAACGCCAGACCGCTGAATGCGCGTCAAGCCTCGGAGGGATTTCAGGAAGCAGTAAATTACGCACCGTATGAGGCGAACGAGGCACGCGGTGCCATATTTCTCACCCTGCACCTTTTCGTGCCGCACAAGATCTTCGAGGGTCGCGGATTCAGCAATCGTAGCGTCGTAACGTTGACGGACGCCCTGGATTGAGTCAGAGCGAACTTTGAAGGCGAATAATAGGCGACAGCGTACTGCCAGATTGCTCTTGATATCAGCCTGCACGAAACCGAAGACTTGGCTTCCCAAGAGGTCTGTAACCACGGATTCACATTTGTTGCAGCCGTGCAATAGAAGAACGTACCGAACAGCGCCACCAGACCATCCGAGGCAAATAAAAAGTCGTCGGTTATGACACCTTCATCTGTAATCTGGACGTCCGCGAACGACTGAGGGAATTTGAAATCAGTCACCCTCGTCGCTTGGAGTTGCAACGGACCTTCACGGTCTCAAAGTACGGAGCCATGGAGGAAAGACGACGGTACGACTGAAGCGTCACGGTGTAGCAGGCGTTGCGAGTGACAATGACATGCGACAAGGTTGAGGCAGAGGGCAAAAGCGGAGCTGCCACGTGTGGTCTTGATGGCCGGAATCCGGCAGTGGCAGTGACCCGTGTCTTGTCCGAAACAGTGTATCTCGCAACAATTGTGGCAGCGTCCCAGTGATGCTGTACCACCAGTGAGCTTTCCAGCTCTGGGTGTACTACACCAGCATCTTCCCAGACCCTTCACCAGAACAGCGTGAGAAACAATTTACTGTCGATTCGGGTCGTATCTTACCAATCACGACCTTTTCTTGGATTGATAGCTTGGCTGGCTTGGCGAATGCAGGATCTATGACCTGCGAAAATTGCTGCGAGGCAGCGTCGCCCTGCCAGGGGAAGCACACTTATTTGGTCGATGGACCATTTAAACTTTTAAAGGGCAGAGGAGATCAACAGGAAGGCAGAAGCAAACGGTCTGCAGAAAATCATCCAAAATCTTACTCACAAGCTCTTGAGTTAATACAAGCTCACGAACACCCGATGGTATGACGGACGGAACGTTGCATAATACAATGCCGATATTTTTGGTCAGCTCCAGAAAGTTTTTTTTCTCGGGGACCCAGATTCCTCCTGTAATGCATACAGGCATAGTATAGCGGCTGCTCACACCTACCCTTGGGGGAACATGCCTCTAACACCTTGATTGGTGAGACAATCGTCGAGATCGAACACAAATGATGGTGATCGGGACTTGCCGGTGCGCGTTGGTACGCGTAAACAGAGGTTCAACTTGAGTGTGGGATAGATGTCCTTGACTCTGATAGACTCTGCATTGTCTGTGTCATCCTGTGTCAGCCCTCTGTTCACAAAATTATTTTGTCTCGCCGGCAGCACAATCCCATGTTATACGCGTACCCGGAAGTTTTTTCGAAGCGGTTGAGGTCCGAGCCAGATCGCGACCGCCCTGGCATCCTCATCAATATCGAATAACATCTGGAGCCGCAGCAGGCCCACTGGCTAACTCCACTGCACCTGGTTGAACCTTTCGCGCACACCGGGAAATCCCGATCACCATCAAATCTGTTTGTCGGGTGCCATTCATCGCGTTGGGGGCATATCCCCTCACAGGTGAGTAGTAACAGCTTATATTGGATGCCTGCCTGCACTGCAGTAGGAATCTGGGACCCAAGAGGAAAAACTTTGTGAATTCTTTATTGCAACATTTCGTCCGTCATACGATGGCGCTGTGCCCGGCGCGTCCACATACCATTCATGAATAAGTTATGAACCGTTGCTGTGGATCCCCCGTTCGATCGGCACCTACGACCTCAGACCACATCTCTTTTTATTCCGTGAACTTACATGCGGTGGGGCCGGATGTGGTAAGGTGGAAACTGAGCGGGGTACACCGAGTTCAGGTACTCAGAAAAGATAAGCAGGGAACAAAAGGCGAGAAGAGAGTGCGGCCAGAAAAGAGGGGGACGGAGCGGAGCCAAAAGAATTCCCGCTAGCCGATTTGAACGACTGACCTCGTCATTAAACAGCGCTGCAATAAACCCTATACTAGTGACGCGCTCTACCAACTGAGCTAAGAGGGAGTGGGCAACGGTAACGGTCGTGTGGATATGGCGTGACTCCGGATGTTGGCGTCCAACTGTAAAACTTCGAACTGGCAAAATATTTCCGGCATGTGCATTGTGCACATTCAGCGGCTCTGAGGCTATTTGAATTTGAGTCAGAGCGGAGGAGAAGGATATGAAAAGGCGAACCCAACTCGAAGCATGGTCACCGTCAAGCGGGATTAGGTCGACTGACAAAGGATCCAGGAATGCAAATCACGCAATGTGATGTGTCACTCGACAGAGCCCTGATCTCCGCACATGTCCGATGGATTGTTCCCATGAATACCGCCACGCCTAACTTAAAGGTTGATCTCGCAAGTTGAACCTCCAACAATCCGAGGACAATATGTGCTACACCGATTTCCGTAGATGCTTGGATCCAGCGCGATGAGTAGAGCCTTGCGGCACGTCAAAGTTCGCTTCCCAATTCTCTCTGGTTCGTTTTTTGTCCGCCGGATCAGAAGTTGAGCATCACGGAATCCCCCGACATCAACGGAACCATCACGAACTTTCCGGACCCGCAACAGTCATCCGCTAAACTTTCATTTTTCGCTCCCTCCCACAAACTCGAACTCCAGCACCTCAAGTCACAATGCAGACCCCTTTCTCCAGCACAGAATCGCCCTGGGCGCGTCCCGCGTCCCAGCCGTGAGCAATCAGTTACACGTGCCTCGTGTTCGTCTGACGAACTTTGTGCACAGGACCGAGTCGAATCGGAACGCGCTGTTGTACGCCAATTGCGTCGCGTTGGCGTCGCTCATCCTTCTCCTGGGGCATACCGCGCTCGCGCGTCCGGCGAAGCGGTACATCTACGCCGGGAACCACCTTCGTTTCCGAGCCGTCCGGTTCGCGTGCTGCGTTGTCCTCACTGGGATCGCGTCGGCGCAGTGGACTGCAGATGGCGGGGTGCATCGGTTTATGGCTATGCTTGCATGCGTGCGTCTCACCCACTCGTTGCCCTCCATCCCTCCCTCTTCTCCCTCGTTTGAATCAACAACTAACGTCGTTCAGCTATACACCGCCCTCCTATCCGCCCTCAGCCTCAACACCACCTCCCACACACACACATCCTCATCCGGCACATCAACACTGTCCTCGGTTTCCAAACGGCGCTGTACGCATACCGCGACGTCTACCCACTGGCGACGTACACCCTGTCGCCGTTGGATTCCGATGAGGGCGCGGTGCTTTGGGTGAAGATCGCATTGCTGTTCGTGGCGGCGGTTGGGGTGCCGCTTACGGTGCCAAGGGCGTATGTGCCTGTGGATCCTGTGGTGCGTTCTCCCTCCCTTCCTGCTTTGGCCCCGTCCCCCATTAAATTTATTCGGACTAACGCCAAACCCCGCCCAGCACCCCCTCCCCCCCAACGAAGAACAAACCGCGTCCCTCCTCTCCTCGTACCTTTTCTCCTTCCTCGACCGCCTCATCTACGCCGCCAACCGCAACCGCGGGGAGAAGTTCAAGTACGAGGACTTGCCGGCGTTGGCGGATTATTCGTATGCGGAGCATTTGACGAGGGGGAGTTTTGGGGTGCGTGCTTTCCTTCGTTCCTACTTGATTTGGCGTTCCGCGTTGAAGCGTCCCCCGCCGTTCGGTTCGAGGCTCGGGACAACGCCTTCCGTCCTTTTTGTTCGTACAGAAGATTGCTGACGAATGAACGCAATCAACAGCACCTCTCCGAATTCTCCGGCGCGCCCAAACGGCACATCCTCCCCGGGCTCCTGTGGACGTTCCGCTGGCGGTTCCTCCTCGCGCTCGTTGTACGTCCTCTCCCCCTTTTTTGAATGCGCCTATGGAGGGAAACTGAACTTATCTCTCCTTTTTTTATACCTACCACCTTCTGCCTTTCTTCGTCCGACCTCCGCCGCTTCCCTGCGTTCCATCGCCCTTCGCCGTCGTGTCCCTCCTCCAACCTCCGTTTTCTCCTCCCTCCCTCTCCCCTCTGCGCTCCCTCTCCCTCTCCCCTCCGCCTTCCCTCCTCCCTCCCCCCTCCTCCTCCCGGCCTCGCATCCCTCCTCCCCACTCCCATTCATCCTACTAAACACCTCGACCTATTCCACAGTACACATCCCTCTGCGTCCCCGCCGACTACCTCTCCGCGCTCGGCATCAACCGCCTCCTCACGTACCTCGCGCGCCCCGCGGACGCGGCCGTGCGGCCGTGGGTGTGGATACTGACGCTGTTTCTGGGGGCGGGGGTGGGGGCTTTGGTTAATGAGGGTGCGTGCGCGTCCTGCTCTTGGCTTCCTTCCCTATCTCCTCTTTCTGCGTTGCTTTTACTTTGATTCGTTGGGAGAGGAGTGCTGACGGACAGTGTGGTCAGCCTACACCTCCACGATGGTGCGTTACAATTCAATTGCGCGGCATAGAGTATACTGATAACGATGGGATGGGGTGTAGTACATCGTGATGATCGAGGCGGAAACGATCATGGTGTCGCTCATATTCGAGCACGCACTGCGAATTCGGGTGAAGGCTGATACGCCGTCTGCGCCTTCTCCCGCCTCTCCTACCCCCGCATCCTCGTCATCTACACCTGCTGCGTCTTCGTCCTCTACATCCACTACTACCGCGGCTTCCTCTTCCGCCACCCCGCAAGAAAGCGCAAGCGCCTCCTCCTCTTCCACTCCCGCTAACCCTAACTCTTCCACTCCCGCCCCCCAAACAAACACCAACCTCCTCGGCCGCATCACGAACCTCATCGCCACCGACGCGCACACGGCCGCCAATCAGGGCAAGGACGTCCTCCGCGTGCTCGTCTACGCGCCCGCGTCGTTTGTGCTGGGGACGTATTTTCTGTGGGTTATTTTGGTAAGTGCTTCGGCGTCGCGTGCTTTCTCTTTTTGCGTTCACTCTTATCAACCGAGGATTTTTTTGGGGGAGAGCTGATTCGTTTCGTAGGGATGGAGGTACGCAGTGCTTTTGAGATATAGGATAGAGCAACGAGCAAAGAGCTAACGAGACGCCGCACACAGCGCATTCGTCGGCCTCGCGCTGATGGTGCTCCTGGCGCCCGTGCCGGGGCTGGTGGCGAAACTGATTCGGAGCGCGAAGATCCAGCAGCTGCATGCGACGGATGGGAGGGTGCAGAGGGTTACGGAGAGTGAGTGGTTTTTGGGTTTTATTCTATTCCTCTGCGATTACCACCGATTGCGTCTGCGATTCCCCTACACTTTCGTCCATCCCATCCTGGCATCCCATCTACTCCCCCCGATTCCATTGCTTTCCATAACTCCCTCCCCCTCCCTTCTCCCTTCTCCCTCAATCAATGATCGATGATACTCATCTCTCACCAGCGATGTCCGTCCTCCGTATGGTCAAGCTCTTCGGCTGGATGTCTTTCTCCGAGCGGCAGATCGACGAAAAAAGGGAAGAGGAGCTCGTGTGGGTCAAGCGCGCGCAGTTGTTGAATGTCGCGACGATCGTTATTGGGTGCGTGTTTTCCTACCTTGCCTTTCCCTGTTTTTTCCTTCCCTATCCCGTCCTCTCTACATCTTCATTATCTCCCGTCATCCCACGCTCCATGCATGACCTGTATGTTTGCTCCCGAACTCTGCCTCGCACCCGTTCCTGCATTTTGTAGCGCCGTACTGACAAGAATGCTACGCTTGCAGGAAAATCCTCCCGGCAGTGAGCATGCTCGCGAGTTATATTGTCTAGTACGTCCTTCCTTCCTTCCTTCCTTCCTTCTCTCATTTACCGGAGCTGACCGAATGACAGTGTATGTACCCTGCCATCTTCCATTCCCCTCACCGCCCTGTGTTGTCTTTGAATCGACGTTAACGTCGGGATGAATAGGCGGGCGTGATGAAGCAGCCCCTGACACCTGCGACCGTGTTCAGCTCCATCACCGTATTCGATTCCCTCGGGACCAAGTGCGTTTCTCTCTACGCTGCTGTTTGGTTTTCGGGTAAATGCTGACGAGGGACTCGGCGTGCAGGATCCGCTACTTCTTGTTTTATCTGAACAACACGATCACGGGGAAGGTTTCGCTGGACCGGATTGATACGTTTTTGCATCAGGTGCGCTACCTCTCTTCCGTTTCCCCGTACCTTCATATACACCTGCTGACGCGCGGATAGACCGAACTGCTGGATGAATTCACCGCAAACGGCGCAGATGCGTTTCCCATTCCACGACAAACACCTGAGCGCGGTATTGGGTTCCACAACGCTACGTTCACATGGACTGCAGAGCAGAATAATGCTCAGGACCAATCCGCGAGGCAGTTCAAGCTGCGTATCGACGATTTGACGTTCCGCCCCGGGTTGAACGTTATCACGGGCCCCAGCGCCTCTGGGAAGACGTCCATGCTCCTCGCCCTACTCGGTACGTCCCCGTTCAACAATCCCCACTCCCGCTGACCACAATCTCTGAAATCAGGAGAGATGCACTTCATCACATCCCCCGCCGCGAACACAGAAGACGAATCGTGGTTCAACCTCCCGCGCGCCGGCGGCGTAGCGTACTGCGACCAAACCTCCTGGGTCCTCAACGACACGATCCGCAACAACATCCTCTTCGGCACGCCCATGGACGAGGCACGCTATAAGAAGGTGCTGTACCAGTGCGCGCTGGAGCCGGATTTGGCGCTGCTGGAGGCGGGGGATTTGTCGGAGGTGGGTGAGAGGGGGTTGACGCTGAGTGGGGGGCAACAGGCGAGGGTGCGTTTTTGCGTCTATTTTTTGCGATCTGTGTGGTGAGTGCGGAGTGTTGATTAGGTTTGGATGTAGGTTGCGCTAGCGCGCGCTGTTTACTCGCATGCGGAGGTTGTGTTGCTGGATGATGTTCTCGCGGCACTCGAGTGAGTCCCGTCATTCTGATGTGTTCACGGTCTGACTGACGCCTTGCCACAGCGTCCATACTTCTCTTTGGATTGTGCACAATTGCCTGTCGGGAGATCTTCTTGCTACCCGAACCGTCATTCTCGTTGTAAGTCCTTATTTCCTCCCAACTTCTCTCGTGCTCAGCCTTCGC